CGAGCAAGAAGGAGAGACTGGTTCACGGCGAAGACGGGCGGCGCGCAGAGGACTCGCGAGCAGGCGGTGAGGGTGGCCGCCGGAAGTTGCAGCGACGGCGAGTTACAGCAAGGCCGATGGTCGCCGGGTCTTTGCGCGAAGCAGCAGGTTCATGGCGAGGCTCGCTGACAGAGTCAGTGGCTGGTCGGGGCGGAGAAGCCTGCGCGCGGTGGTGGGTCGCTGGAAGGGACTGCAGGGTGACGGAAATCGCAGAGGAGGACTCGCCGGATTTTCGTGGTCACGGGCAGGGAACAGGGCGACGAGGAGGATGACGGGATGAGGGTCACGTTTGCGAGAGAGGTGAGATCAGATTCGCGAGAGAGAAATTGCGCGATCGAGAGAGAGAAATCTCAAGCTGCGGGGTGAGAAAATTCTGACGAGAGGGACGATAGATACAAGGTGCATATATATATATACACACATTAGAATTAGGTTGACTTTTCTTGTCCCACAAGACTAATAAAAATCCCACACGCACGAATTTGAGAGAGAGACCGGATCTTGGGCAGGTCGGTTCGAGCTGGGGCGGTTTAACGGATTTGGCTTGGGGCCGGTTCAGTTGGGCCGGTTTCGCCAAAATAATTCGGCTCTCGGGCTCGATTTAATCGCACTATTAATTAAATAAAATAAAATCATTTATTTAATCCATACATTACTTTAAAATAATAATAATATTAATTATCAATATTTACGATTAGCAATTAATTTACAATTAGACATATAATATATAGACATTTAATTAGGCAAGCAATAACATTAATAATATCATAATAATAATAATAATAATAATAATAATAATAATAATAATAATAATAGTAATAATAATAATAATAATCAATTATAATAATAAATATTTCCAATTAATCCATAAATAAATGGGGCCTTACAACAACCTGATACGAGAAGTCGTTGGACGAGGAGAAGTCGTTGTTGCCAAGATACAGTCATAGGACAACCTAGCAGATCCCTTTGTTTGTCCCATTTTCGTGTATTTATTTCACGATTATTTTCTTCTTGTTTTCCCCCATTTGTAGGTTTTTCGTAGTTTATTTGGTCCATTTCTTTTGTTTTGTACTCTTGTCTTTAGTTTATATTTTTGTGTCTTTTTGCCGTGTTTTGCTTCGTGTTTTTCCGAGTTTGTGTTTTCAAGAGGTAGGTTGTGCCGGTCAAGGTTGGGACTGCTTGAGCCGAGACCATGATATCGAGAATCCCCGTTGCCGAGCCCAGTAGACTAAAGGAAGGACTGAAAAACGGACTAAAAAACTCTTCCCAGAATTTCTCGCGACTCGCGAACATGTCACGACCCGCGAGAAAAACTGGGGCTAAAGATGCAGTTGCGATAACACCAAACTTAACTCGATAACACCAAACCTGGGGCTAAAGATGCAGTTGCGAGGCAATGTCGACAACACCAAACTCGATAACACCAAACTTAACTCGAGAAAAACTGGGGCTAAAGATGCAGTTGCGAGGCAATGTCGCGACTCCCGAGATGTGGTCGCGACCAGCTCCAGAATATAAAGAAAATGACGACGCGCGACTTGCGAGGAAGTCGCGACTCGCGACCAGGGAATTGACGATCTCTCGAATCGCGAAACTTTACCAGCGCGAATTTCGAGGACGGGATTTTAACATTAGATTTTGGTTCTTAGGGTTTATAATTCGACTTCCAGACTTTGTTTTTACGTTTTTTCTCTCTAGAAACTCATTCCTTTTCATACTTTTGCACTTTGGATTTGTTTTGGAGATTGAAAACTTCTTTTCTCTGCTTTGGATTTAGATGCACTTGGATTTGACATTGAATTCTTATCATTAATTGTAAGTTCTTTTTCTCAATTGTTTTGTTGATGATGATGGCTTGGGTTAATATGAATTGTGATGTTAGATTCCATATGAGTAGCTAAATCCATTCGCTAGGGATAGGGGATTATTGATTAGGTTCGATAATGATTGAATGCTTTTGATTGTTCATGTTTATGCAAGTTGTGTGATTTATAGGGTTAGTAGATTGATCACCTTTCTAACCTAGATAATCAACGTGTAGCACCGAGATGGGAGACGTTGGTCGAAATAGGCTCGTTTAGAATAGATTTGTTCGGAAACGTATAATCTATGTGTTGTTGGAATTGATAGTCGATCGTTTACATTCACTCTCTTGTTACGAAGAGTTATTGAGAGTGAACCTCTGAACAAGAAACGATTCAAGTCCTTTAACCGAGCAATTGATTACCGGTAATTGTGATAGAACCGAAAGCAATTATCCCTGATTTCCTATCTCTTTAATCATTTAGAGAATTTGTTCGCCATTTAAATTGCGTTTAATCTAGTTTTAGTATCCTTAGTTGATAATAGAAAACCCCAAAATATTGAACTAGAATGTTTAGGAATTTGTTTTCTCCTTTTCGTGATTGAATAAACGCACAAGAATATCCAGCTAACCTTCCTTGCGATACGACCCGGGTAACGAATCTTTCGGTTCTACTCCGGTAAAAATACTGACAACAAAATTGGCGCCGTTGCCGGGGAAGGTTTAGGACTAATTGTGCGTCTATTCGTTTTTTTAGTGTTTCTCTTATTTCTTGTGATTTTTCTTGTTTTCATGTTTCTCTTTGTTTCTTTAGTTTATTCTAGTAGCTCTTGCTTTCTTTAGCTTTCTTCTTTGTTTATCTGGTGCTCGTGACGGTTTCTTTTGTCTTTGTGTATGCGTACCAGGAGTGGGCGTACCATAGGACCAAACGACGAACCAAGTCAGGAGAGCGTAAGGGAGCTGTTTAACAAACTCAGCCTCGATTCATCTGATACCACAAAGCCAGACATGGCTCCTCAACACCGCGCTCTCCTTCGAGACATAGCCCATCCGACGATTGGGCCGATAACTTCATGCATCCGGTTGCCATAAGAAGCTCGGAACTACGAGCTTAAGATGATAAATTACAACCAGCTGCCATCCTTCCACGGGCTCCCGAATGAAGAACCGCTTAACTTCATTCAGGAATTCTACAATGTGCTACAGACCTTCCCTCTCCAAGGGCTCACAGAGGAGCAACTGAAGATGAGGTGTTTTCCTGAGACACTGAAGGACTAGGCCAAGGCTTGGTTCATGACCCTCGCACCGGACTCTCTCACTACCTGGACCGAAGTATACATGAAGTTCATTGGGAGGTTCTACTCCCATCAGAAGACTCAGGAGCTCCGGGCGCAAATTGTCTCATTTGCTCAACTACCGAATGAGCCTCTTCACGAGGCTTGGGAGCGGTTCAAGGATCTCCAGTGGCAGTGCCCTCATCACAACCTCTTCGGGGCTACTGATCAACTGCTTCTACGACTCCCTCCATCAGAACTTGTAGTATATGGTTGACAATGCGGCAGGGGGAATATCGGAGCAAAAACGGCTGGAGAGATGTTCGACATTTTCGAGACGATGAGCACAAATTCATCGCAGAAGAGTAGCCGAGGGAAGAGAGTTTCCGTAAACGAGGTCAGGTAGGGCAACAATGTGATGGCCCAACAGTTAGCTGAGCTCACAGAGCAAATCCGTTTACTTAACGCACGAGGAGCTTAGCCGGTTCAGACCATGTCCGTTGACACGTGCGGGGCATGTGGAGTCCCAGGGCATAGGTCTGAATTGTGCCCTTCAGCTTTCGACCAGGAGTCCGGTGAGCAGTATGCAGATGCTAGCGCTTTACAGGGATACCAAGCCCGACCTGGCAATGACCCATTTTCAAACACGTACAACCCGGGATGGAGGAATCATCCCAGCTTCTCCTGGTCCAACAACACAAACTCCCAGCAACCCAGTCCGAATTTCATGCAGCAGCAACCTCGACCCAACTTCATCCCTCGTCCAAACTACCAGCAACAGCAGCAGCCGAGAGGACCAGAAGCCGGGATGCAAGCACCGGGAGCCGGGCCAAGTTCATCCCTCCAGGACGACAAGCTCGACAAGATCCTCCAGTATATCACGAACCAAGATGCATCTGTAAATAAAGAAATTTTGTGGCCAATCAAATGGCGCCACGTGGAAATTAATTTATTAAAAATCAAGTCATATTTTCTATTTATATTTTAGGAATTCCCATATATTTAATTCCTAATTTTAAATAGTTAATTAATTGATATTTTAATATTTTAGTTCTAGACCAATCAAATAATGCCAAGTGTCAAATCTTAATTCTTGGTAATAAATCATATGGTATCTAGAAGATCTTGGAAGATCTAAGTGGATCTAGAAGATCTTATGTGAATCATCATGGACCAATCAAATCGCGTCCTACGATTATTAAATTTGGTAGGGTTCTCCCTCCTACACCTATAAATAGGGGCTCTCCGTAATGTAAAAAAAAAACACATATCATAATTCATATTCAATGTTCAAGAGCTCTAGAGAATTCTCTCGACGAGATTCAAGTATTCTTGAAGATTCAAAGGCGTTCTTGAAGATTCGAAGCAAGATTCAAGCGCATTCAACCTCAAGACTGGCGTTCAATCCGGAAACAAGCTGCAAAGCCTCCGAATAACGTTAGTAAATTCAAAGCCGGCGTGGAGAAGATTCAAGATCTACTTTGCGACGAAGACCAAGAATTCGTGTTCTTGGGATATTTCGACGTTTGATCCGAAATCAAGGCGTTGGTCCTCGGATTAACGTTAATTCAAGTCAAATCAAGTCATGGAGAAGATCAAGCCGAAGATTTCGCTCCAAGACTTAAAATTATTTGTGAGAAGAATCAGAGAAGAAATTAGAGATTGTAACCTGCTATATTATTTTGATTCAAGAAATTTATTTGAATAATATTTTTTGTGTTTTTTTAAATTCAATACACGAAATTTGTTGTTACAAATTTTTGGCACGCCCGGTGGGACTTCTCTACCTCTCATCTCTTCTTCAAATTCCTCAAATCATCATGACTACCCGCAAGGTCGCCATAGTCAAGATTCCTTCAACAATTTCTTCAAGCTCCAACCTTGGCGTCGTTACAAGAAGCATGGCCAAGCAACTGCAAGCATCTTCGGAGACGACTCCTTTGCACGAGGTGATTGGAAGAGATAAGCTGCATCTTACCCACGAAGGCGATGAAGACGACTCCGCTTCATCAACTCCTCGCTCATCATCAAGCTCTTCATCAAGTTCAAGCTCAAGTGTTGCTCCAGTTATGACAACTAATGCTTCAACTCTTGAAGAACACATCGCAAGCTTGACAAAGGTCATTGAAGGGCTTGTGAAGAAGGTCTAAGAGCAAGACTCTCAAATCTCAAAGCTTATGGACAAGGTTGACAATGTTGAAACAAGCCGCATGAAGGAAAAACAAGATGAAGATCGTGATGAGTCTGAAACTTCCAAACAGCAGTAATTTCACGAAAGAGAGAAGACTCCAACATTTCAACATTCGTCTGATGGAATGATCCCCATTGATCAACTGAAGGATTTCATCATGGGGACAATTAAAGATAAGCTTGATGGTGGTTCCAAGTCAACTCACACCTATGCCAAGCCATATACTCTAAGAATCGATAACTTGAGGATGCCTATTGGATATCAACCTCCCAAGTTCCAGCAGTTTGATGGCAAAGGCAACCCGAAGCAGCATATAGCCCACTTTATTGAGACATGCAACGATGCAGGAACCCATGGTGACTATCTCGTGAAGCAGTTTGTTCATTCACTCAAAGGGGTTGCTTTCGACTGGTACACTGATTTGGAAGCAAACTCCATCGATAGTTGGGAGCAAATGGAACACGAATTTCTTAGTCGCTTCTATAGCACAAGACGTACAGTCAGCCTGATCGAGCTCACCACATCTCGACAATGGAAGGAGGAGCCAGTCATCGACTACATCAATAGGTGGAGGAACTTAAGTCTGAACTGCAAGGATCGTCTGTCTGAGGCTTCTGCCATTGAGATGTGCATTCAAGGTATGAGTTGGGGTCTTCGTTATATCCTTCAAGGAATTCAACCAAGAACATTCGAAGAGCTAGCGACTCGAGCCCACGACATGGAACTAAGCATGGCCGCAAGCGGAGCTAATGGGCCACCGATCCAAGAACCCCAAAGCTCCAAGTATAGATACGAGCAAAGAAAAGGGGGCAAGTTTTCCTCGAAACCTCAAAATAAGGAGTCTCTAACGATCAATGCTATGCCTGTCAAGTTTAAAGGAAAAGTTGTTGATAAAGCCGTTGAAAAGAAGGATGTCCCCAAAGAGACTGAACAAAGAAGATTGACTCTGAAAGAAATGCAGGCAAAGCAGTACCCGTTCCTTGATTCAGACGTCTCTGGCATATTTGACGATCTGATCGAAGCAAAACTCATTGAGTTGCCTGAGATGAAACGTCCTGAAGAAGCTGGCAGGGTGAACGACCCAAAATATTGCAAATACCACCGTCTGGTAGGGCATCCAATTCATGACTGCTTTGTATTCAAAGACAAGGTTATTCAGCTGAATCGCCAAGGAAAAATCTCACTAGAAGAAAGTAGCGCAACTGTTAATCATATAAGCGAAGCATGCAACATGACAAATGAGCACGAAGCTCCGCTAGAAGAAAACAATCTGCATGAGGTTGAAGATCACCATGTTGGTCGTGATTCTCTAATGGTCTTTACTGATGAAGATCTACTGCTTGGTTCTAAGCCCCACAATAGACCCTTGTTCGTGGCCGGCTATGTGCAAGAGCAAAAGGTTAATCGAATATTGATTGATGGAGGATCAGCAGTCAACATTTTGCCTCTCCGTACACTGAGAGAGTTAGGAATGACTACTGAAGAACTTTAGTCGATTGATGATTCAAGGCTTTAACCAAGGGGGGCAAATAGCTCTTGGCATTATAAGGTTGAGTTTGTTGATGGAGGATATGGAATCAACCGCAATGTTCCATGTTATCGATGCAAAAACTTCTTACAACATGCTACTTGGTCGTCCATGGCTTCATGAGAATGGCGTGGTTCCATCAACATGGCATCAATGCTTCAAATATTGCAAGAATGGCGTTGTGAAGACTGTTCTTGGTGATGATAAACCTTTTACTGAGGCCGAAACTCATTTCGCTTATGCCAAATACTATATGAAAGATGAAAAATCAGTTGATAAAGTCCCGTCTAAGCAGCAAAGTGGATCCAAAGGTAGAGAACCAAAGATTGAAAAGGTAGAAAACTCTTCGAAAGAGTTAGTTCTGCCACTGCCGAAGATAAATGACGATAAACCTATCTCCCAACCACCCATGAAGTTTGTTCGTCCAAGCAAAGGAGCGGTAATGGAGCACGGAGAAGGACTGAAGAATTCAAAGTGTTTTGATCCAAAAGCCTACAAACTTCTCGTCAAAGCAGGATACAACCCCAATGAAAGTCACTCTTTGGAAAATCTCATACCTCAAGAGCAAAAGCACAATCGGGCAGGTGTTGGATATGTGGCACCGAATCCAATTAGAATCGCCATCAAGAGAGCAAACGCCAACCATGTCTCGGAATTAGAGTTCCCGTCCAATGACGGAGGAAAGAAAGGAAAAAGAGTGTCGGTGTTTCAAAGACTCGGTCCAGTTCAGAAGTCTAGGGGCAAACAATCTGTGTTTAAGCGACTTGGATCATCTAAACCGTCAAAGCCTTTAAGACAAGAAAGAGGCGCGGGCCCGGCTCCAAGGCTTAGAAGTTGGATTCCGTCACGCATGAAGCGTCAAACTACCTTAATCATATCATGTGGGGAAGTTTTTGAGCACATGATCGTTCATACAAGAGTGCAGGACGATGAAGGTGAAGATAGAGAAAGTGTCGCTTCGTCTTACTATGCTTGCGGTACTCTTGCAACTCCTCGAGATGATGGAAGTTCTCTTTACTGAAAAATAGCTTATTTAGTGAGAAAAGGGTATATCACTGGAGTTGATGAAAATCTGTAGACACGATTTGTCGCAGGAAGAAATGAACGTGTGAGACCATGCATCGACTTCAAAACTCCTAGTGAGCCGATCGAATATATTGCACTTGTGAACCACATCACTATATGCGAGGATACTCTGATAGAAGAGGAAGATGCTGAAGACGCACCTCCGGAGCTTGAAGAAGGTGTCAAGGCCACAGTCGACGAACTAAAAGAAATCAACTTGGGTGATGTTGATGGTCTTCGCCCAACATACATTAGCGCCTTGTTAACTGTAGATGAAGAGAAGGCCTACATAGAGCTTCTTGGTGGGTTTAAGGATGTGTTTGCATGGTCGTATAAAGAGATGCCTGGACTAGACCCGAAGGTGGCGGTGCATAATTTGTCCGTGAGAAAGGGGGCAAAACCTGTTAAACAAGCACAAAGAAGATTTCGTCCCGAGTCGATCCGTTGATTGAATCAGAAGTGAATAAACTCATTGAAGTTGGTTTCATTCGGGAGGTCAAATATCCTGCGTGGATCTCGAGCATCGTTCCTGTCAGGAAGAAAAATGGTCAAATTCGAGTTTGCGTGGATTTTCGAGATCTTAACGAGGCGTGTCCCAAGGATGACTTTCCATTGCCTATAACTGAACTCATGATCGATGCTACGACGGGACATGAAGCGTTGTCTTTTATGGGCGGATCATCAGGATAAAACCAGATACGCATGTCGCCAAAAGACGAGGAGTTGACGGCATTTCGCACTCCAAAGGGTATATACTGCTATAAGGTAATGCCTTTCGGATTGAAGAACGCTGGAGCTACATATCAAAGGGCAATGCAAAAGATATTCGACGATATACTGCACAAGAACATCGAGTGCTATGTTGATGATGTGGTGGTGAAGTCGAAGAAGCGAGAAGACCACCCCAAAGATTTAAGAATGGTTTTTGAACGCCTAAGAAGATATCAACTCAAAATGAACCCGTTGAAGTGTGCATTTGGTGTCAAGTCGGGGAAGTTTCTTGGATTCATTGTCCGTCATCGTGGAATAGAGGTCGAGCGAGCAAAAGTCGATGCAATACTAAGAATGCCCAAGCATCGCAACATTCATGAGCTTAAAAGTCTACAAGGGAAGTTGGCGTACCTTCGAAGGTTCATCTCAAATTTAGCCGGACGATGCCAACCTTTTACTCATCTAATGAAGAAAGGTGTTCCTTTTGAGTGGGATCAATCTTGTACAAATGCTTTTGAAAGCATAAAGGCCTATTTAATGAAATCTCCTGTGTTAATTGCGCCAGTAGCTGGTCGTCCTCTTATTCTCTACATAGTAGCACAAGAACGCTCTATTGGAGCTTTGCTGGCTCAAGAAAATGAGGGTGGAAAGGAGAGCGCCTTATATTATTTGAGCAGAACGATGACACCAAATGAGTTGAACTATTCACCGATAGAGAAAATATGTTTGGCGCTGATCTTTGCAATTCAAAAGTTGAAGCATTATTTTCAAGCTCATACGGTTCGTCTTGTTTCAAGGGCAAATCCATTGGAATATGTCATGACAAGACCCATCCTCTCAGACCGTTTAGCCAGGTGGTATCTTCAACTTCAACAGTTTGAGATTGTCTACATCCCTCAAAAGGCGGTAAAAGGACAAGTTCTGGCAGACTTCTTAGCCGATCACCCTATTCCTGCTGAGTGGGAGTTGTCCGATGAACTACCCGATGAGGACGTTCTTCTCATTGAAATTTCTCCTCTTTGGAAGATGAACTTTGATGGAGCGTCTCATAGAGAAGGAGCTGGTGCTGGAGTTGTCTTTGTGACATCCCATGGAGAAGTGCTTCCGTAAGCCTTCACTTTAACTGAAAATTGCTCAAACAACGTAGCGGAGTATCAAGCTCTAATTCTGGGGTTGGAGATGGCCGTGGACATGAAGCAACTACATCTGAAGGTCTATGGAGATTCAAAGCTGGTGGTAAACCAACTTCTTGGAGAATACGATGTAAAGAAGCCTGAGCTGCTCCCGTACGTCGACTATGCGAATAGGCTCATGGGATGGCTTGGAGATGTTACGATCGAACATGTGCCGAGGAAGAATAATAAACAAGCTGATGCTTTGGCGAAACTCGCTTCTTCACTCATCCTTCCTGAGGATAGGGCTCGAGTGCAAATTTGTAGAAGTTGGGTTATACCTCCGATTTTCAACGATGATGTTTG